GGAACCAGAGCTTGCATTTCAGCCAGGTCCCCAGGCTGGGGAAGCTGCTGGTCACATGCTGCTCTTCCTCCTGCACACACACACACACACACACACACCCTGGTGCAGACACCACAGGTATGCAAGGCAATTTCCAGCTGTAGCGGTGACTTTATGAACGCTGACCTCAAACCTTAAACTTGCAGAAATCCTGCTACCTCAACCTCCCAAGTGCTGGGATTACAGATGTTCGCCACCATGCCTGGCTCCATATATATTTTTGACTACTTGATGCTAAGCATTGTTCTAGTTGCCTATGCCTAGAAAAAAAATACATGTGTTGTAGAGTTTACGTGTATTGGGGTGTACATGTCAGAAAGTTTAAACCAGCCGGGTGTGGTGGTGCACGCCTTTAATCCCAGCACTTGGGAGGCTGAGACAGAAGGATCTCTGTGAGTTCGAGACCAGCCTGGGCTACATAGTTCCAGGTCAGTCTCAACTACATAGTGAGACCCTGTCTCAAAAAAACAACAAAAAAATTTAAACCATAGATATGAAAGGCATGGTAGAAGATTAATAAAAAATACTTCTTTTAAAGATTACATTTTGCTGGGTGTAATGGCACATGACTGTAATCCCAGCATTCAGGAGGCTGAGGCAGGAGTATCACCACAAGCTGGAGGCCAACCTGGGCTGCACAGTGAATTCAAGGCCAGCCTGAACTGCATAGCAAGACCCTGTCTCCAAAAACAAAAAAATAAGTTACATTTTGAGGCAGGACTGCTGGGATGTTGGTAATGGTCTGGATCTTGATCTAGGTGTTGGATATATTCACTTTGTAATCATGTATTTTCTCCCCTCTAGATGTGTGTTGCATATCAATTAAATCTAAAAAATTATATTCTGGTATTTTCTATTGTTGTCCTTGTCATTAAGAAAAGCCAGAGCTCTGTGGATTTTTTAAATTGAGGGTTTAACTTAGGGCCTCATGCATACTAGATGAGTGCTTTATCACCGTGCTACCTCCCCAGCCCTTTTTTTGTTTGGACTGGGGATTGAACTCAGGACCTTGCACTTGCGACCAGGCAGCAGAACCACTGAGCTCCATCGCCAGCCCCCCAGTCCTGTTTCATGTTTAATTTGAGACAGTCTTGGTAAGTTGCCTTGGATGGGTCCTAGAGAGTGGGGCTGGCAGGTGTGTGCTTCTGTGCCTGGCTTGGATCTGGTTCTTAGGGAGACTAGGCTCCCCTAAAGAATCAGCCAGGAAGACCGACCAGGATGGAGCTGTTTGGCCTCTTGGTTTGTTTGGCCTGGAACTTGAATCATGGTGTGATTGATTTACAGTTCTTTCTTTTAAATTTACAGTTCTTAAAAGAAGCCAGTCTACATTCAAGAGTCTGTGGACCGTGTGACTAGAGCATGGTGACCATGGAGATAGAATATTGCAGAGCGATAGGCAAAGCTATCTCTGGCTATCATTAGTCCCTTTTAGTAGCCATTTACTATCAACTCCTGCATCTGACCTAACACCCATGCTACTACTTGATAAAACTTGCTGAAGACCCAGCTGTCGTGGTGCACGCCTGTAATCCTAGCACTTGGGGAGGCTGAAGCAGGAGGATCCTGAGTTTGAACCCAGGCTGGGCAACTCAGTGACTTAGTGAGACCCTGTCTCAAAATAAAAAATGAAAAGTTCTGAGGATGTAGCTCAGTTCAAACTCCCTGGGTTTGATCCCCAATACCACACACACACACACACACACACACACACACACACACATCTGAAACCTATAGATGTTTCTCCACTTCTGAAGCCCACCTACCTGAAGCTCCCACCAGCGTAATTGATAAATAGTTGATTTAAGACTTCGTTTTGTTCTGCATCTGTAACAGTTCACATCACCTCTTCCACAGAAGAACATGTCACTCAGGGGAACCTGAATCTGTGTGCTTGGGCCATGGTTCTCGTACTTGACGAGGGTATTATTTCTCTGAAAGCAGACTTGTTATTTTACGTTGCCATTTGTCAAGGAAGCTTGCTCCAGATCGGCGGTTTGCATCTACTGGCCTCTCAAATCTAGCTGGCCCTGATGCTTCCACAGCTGACTCCTGGACTGGCTTCGCTCAGTTGGACTGTGGCAAGTCCGGAGACATAAAAAGAGCTCAGAGCACTGAGTTCGACTTCTGGCTTCGTAGTTGCCCGCTGTGTGACACCGAACCAGTCCCTCAGTGTGTCACCCATAAAGTGTAGAGCACCTCTGGGTGCTGCGGGGGAGAGGGAGGAAGAGCAAATGCAGGTCGGTGCCCATAGGCTTCCCAGCCCTCAGCAGGTGTTGTTATGGAATTATGGTGGAGGCAGGAGGACAGGGAAATTACCTCCCTGTTAGCTTCTCCCCAAATGGTGCAGCTCTAACTTTCCCTTTGCTCCGACAATATCAGAGCCCCACAGCTTAAAGGCGGAAAGGTTTATTTTGGCCCACGGGTACAGTCCATGGTCGGCTGGCTTCAGGGCAGAAGACAGCATGGGCCAGGAGCGTGGTGGAGGAAAAGCTGCTTCTGTCCCGGCCACCAGGGAGCAGAGAGAAGGGAAGACTGGGAGGGAGATGCACGGTTCCAGGCTGTGCCCCCGCCACTGCTTCCTACTAGCAAGTGGGCTATAAGTCCACATAATACAGTCACCTTCCAAAACCCCGCTCTGAGCACAGAGGCCTTAGGGGGATGTCCAGATTCAAACTCCAACAGGAAGTCCCTGGCTGAGGCAGGGCAAGAGTCCTCACAGAGCAAAGACCCCACCCACAGCCACCCAGGTTGGCTCTGTGCAGGAGTCCTGGAACTCACCCTCTTCCCTGTGGCCTTGGGCACAATGCTGGCCAACACAAGAGAAAGAACCCTCTCCTTACGGACTCAAGATCATCTGCCCACCTCTCAAAAGCCGGTACTTAGGAGACAAGAGATGGTTGAAAAGAAGGGCAGTGGTGGGGTGGCAGGAGCTATGTCCCCCAAATAAAAGACCATCTTGGGGAACTGGAGTCTTGGACTCCCTGGGTGGGGACAGAGGGACAATGGGCAGGAAAGCTGTGTGCCGAATGAGTCTTCATCCTCCAGGGTTGTGTCTCTTTCATTGGCCTGGCTGGAACATTTGATTGATCTTGATCTCCTTGGGCCAGTTCCTGTAACTCTTTAGGCAGGTGAAACCTCACTGCAGTTGACATGTTTTGTGTTCATTAACGGAAGGGCTAGAATAAGGAGGGGTGTGCCGCATACTGATATTACCTGAGGGTCATTAGATCTAGTTTTCCATTTTGGTGATCTAAAGAAGGTTTTAGCACTTTAAGGCTTTCCTTTAGAGTGCAGGATGCAGGGCAAAGGGAGGAGTCAGAGGATAGCTTGTAAATGGCAGCCACAGTACACTGCCCAGTTCCCTGCTGACTGACCCTTCATTCCAGCGTGGTTTTATTATTGTACTCACTTTACAGATGAGGTGGAGAGTCACAAGGCCGAGTGGCCCCGGGCTTGTGGGCACCGAGCAGCGCTGCCCAGGCTGCCTCCATCCAGATAGAGGTCTGCAGGTGGCACTGGCACTGGGAACCAGAACTCTGGGTATTTTCCCTGGGGTGTGTGCCTGCTCAAGACCCCAGTGGGAAGTGTCACAGGCTTGAGACAAACTTTCTCTTGTTTAGGAGCCTTCCCTTGGCCCCAGAAAAAGACTGCAGATGGCCCAGGTGCGTGGCCTTGGGGCGGCTGCAGACATGAGGACTAGAGTCCACTTGACAGGATGTGACCTTGGAAACCTTTCAAAGAATGCATCCTCATTCTTTTTATTTCTGTTTGGCTTTCTGAGCAGGGTCTTGCTCTTTAGCTTAGGCTGGCCTAGAACTGGTGGCAATCCTCTTCCCTCAGCCCGCCCAGCTCCATCTTCTTCATTTTAGAGCCAAAGCAATTGAGGCCAAGGCAAAGTGACATTTTATATTCACAGGGTTAAGTCAGCAACAGCCAAACTGCTAGGTACTTAGAGCTGCAGCCTCTCACTCCTCCCAACTTTTTGCTGTACCTCTCCTCCCTTTGGTCCCACAAGGTGCCAGCCAGGCGGGGGGC